AGCTGAACGCCAGTGACATAGAGGATGGCCTGGCTCTTGCTCCACCCGTCCTCCCAACCAAAGAGGAGGCCGAAGGTCACGATCTGGAGCAGGAGCCCGGTGACCAGCGTGGCGCGGATGCCCCATCGAGCGCCGGCGATTCCAGCGGCGAGGTTGGTTCCGACGCCTGCAAGCTCATAGAGCACAAACATTAAGGTGACCTCCATCGCCGTGAAGGACTTGCGGTAGGCGTGCAGGAGGACGATCATGCGCAGCGCGCCGTCGGTGATGGTGAAGAGGAGATAGGTGGACGAGATGACCACGAATGGGAGGAGCGCGTCTCGCTGCTGCGTGGCCTCCGTTCTTGCCACCGTTTCGGTGGGCTGAAGGCGACGCCTGCCGAGGCGGATGAGCGGCTCGTCGAGTGAAGTCGGAGCACCGTCGGCCATCGCGCGTTTTTTGTTATAGCACAAAAAATCTCGTGTTCTCGAGGTCGAGGAAGAGGCAGACTCCCTAGGGTGGGCGACGGCTAGCGCATCACACACCTCTCCTTAAAATCCCTGTGTGGTGGCGGGCTGGCGGCGTGCCGTCCTCCCATCCCTCCCTTGGGGTGTCTGTTTTCTTTCTTTCTTTTTTTCGAGGGTCTCGAGGTGGATATCCTTTGGCCGTGAACGTGTGCACACACACAGACATCCCTGCGTCCACCCATACCGCGTTGGTGTCCCAGTCGTTGGTCGGACTGTGTTTGAGTAATGGAGAAGTCTGTCCGCGCCTAAGGATTCTGCCTTTCCTATTCTGCTCTACTACACAAGGATTCTTGCTATTCTACCTCTCACTAGATTCCCCTTCCCAGGTTCCTCTTCTGCTCGGATATTCTGATTCTCTCCCCAGACTCTCCCATCTTGGCCCCGCTTTCAGCTTCCTGATTCTCCATTCTCGTTTCCTCCGCTTCCTTTCCGATTCTCTAGGGCAGCCAGAGCCAATTCCTGATTCTGCTCCCCCCTCCCGATTCTCCTGTCTCTCTTCCTATTCTTGATGCTCCATTTGATTCCTGATTCCTGATTCCTGATTTGTCGGATCGCCCACATTTTGACCGGGATTCTGATTCCTGATTCCTGATTCCTGATTCCTGATTCCAACATTTTGACCGGGATTCTGATTCCTGATTCCTGATTCCTGATTCCTGATTCCTCGGAGTTACGCATTTCGGCGGGATCCTATGTTGGCCTGACTCTCCGAACTCCTGAGCCGATATTGCGTGTGCGCGGGGCTTCACACAGCTCACTCAAACTTCGCCCGCGGCAGCATGCTCAGGCGCGGGTCTCTCTGGCGCTCCAGCCTCACGTCAGCGCACTCAGCGCTTAGGCCTCGGTCCGGCGTCCGCAAAGGCGCAGTGTGTGGTGCGGGCTCTGCCCGCCCCCCCGAGGAGAGGGGGGGGGGGGGGCGCTCCCGCGCGGGGGGGAGCCGAGCGAAGCTCGGCTCGGGTTCAAACTAACCCTCCCCCTTTTCCCTTTTTCTAAAACTGCTCGCCGCGAGCGGCTCGCTTCTAAAACGAGCTCGCCGCGGCTGTCGCCGCGTCTCGCCTGTCTAGGCGTCGTGATGCGTGTGTGCTTTTGAGCTGGGCGTATAAGAAGAAGAAATTGAAGCACTCCTCCCATTGACTTAGTACGAGCACCGAGACACGAGACAGCAGCCTACCCGTTCTACACCCACACCGCCGCGGAGCTGCCTAGCTGGCGGGTGCATTCACAGCGAGCCCGCGGGCTTGGAGACCCAATCAGACAGCAATCCCCACAGCAAAAGAGCAGACGTGCCGCTGTGAGCATCGCTGAGCAGCACCAACGACCGCTTGCGGGGTCGCCGCAGGCCGGCGCCAAGCTGCATCTGACGCCGGCATGCCGTTCAAACCCCGGCACCAAGCGCCCGCGGGAATGGGAGACCGCCTGCCCAGAATTAAGATCAGCCGCGCACTGCTCTGGCTCCACCATGCCACCGCCCATGAGATCTCTGACGCACGTGTGATGAGCCGCCGTTCAAAAGCGACTGTACTGTGCGGAGCGCGGAGCGCACTTCGATGGCAAAGTGGGTGGCGCGGAGGATACGGCGCGTACACATGAGCGTGATTGGTTGAGTGAGCATGCCCAGATGGCCGGCCGGCCGGGCTACCGCCCCTCGACGGGCAAAAACAGGAATCAGGAAACGAGAGTCCGGCCGGGTTGCCAAGAAATCGGCGGGGAGAGGGGAAACCGTTTCCGGCATCCGGAGGCAGAAACCGCAACCGCCGCGACAGAATCTGATAAGGCGAGAATCGGACGGACAGAATCAGATCGATTAGGCAGAAACGGAAGCTGGGTGAGGAATCCTGCCCGGAGGCTGAGTGCGTGGAAAGGGGACGGGCAGAATCAGATCGAGTAGGCAGAACCGGAAAAGGAGAGTGAGAATCAGAAGAAACGGACACGAATCCCTCTCGAGCCTCCGCATACAGAATCCTGTCTTGGGTGGCAGAATCGCTAGTGCAGAATCCTCAGGCGTGGACAGGGTTCTCCAAGACTGCGGCAAAATACCGGGGTATTTTGCGTGTATGTGTAGAGGAACCAGTGGAGAGGACAGGGATAGGGTGCCCACAGGACCCAAAAGAAAATAGCTTTCCGGCTCAAACCTAAATGCTAAAATCTCTCTCTGTAGAAAAGGGACGCACGTGCCTCGCCGTCCTCGCGGGAGTCGCTTAGGCGGCTCCCGTGCGCCGTGGTGTACCTGTGTTAGTGCCAGTGCGCGCCAGTCTAGTGTCGTGCGAGGAAGTCGCATAAAAAATTCTTCGAGGTTCACCTCTGAAGCCCTGATACAAGAAAAAAAACCAGGCCCATGCCCACGCCCAAGCCCAGACCGGAAACTCGAGCGAGCCCAGGCAGGGCCGTGCCGCTCCTCTCCAGACCACCGTGATGCTCCTCGCCATCATCGTCACCACGACGTGTCAGCTGCGGACGGGCGTCGCCCGCGACATGCGCACGTAGCCCGACAACTTTCAAACGCTGTGCAAGCCGCGGGCGGCTCCAACTGTCAATGTCGTCTCGCATTACCGGTACGCGGGCCTGGCTTCTCTCTGCTCTCTCTCCCCCCACTCCCCATCGAGACTGAGCCCCCGGTGAGCACGGGCTGCGGCGCGACCCTTGCCGTCCCCGCGCACGCAGGTCACCATGGCTGCATCAGAGCTGCTTTGTCGTGCTCACTCGAGCAGCGCGCAACGGTCGCGCCCACCTGTCACCTCGCCTCGGACGCCGGCTGCATCCCGCTCGCGGCGGTCGCCACCATCCCTGGGTCACCGCCACTGCCCCTGTCCCTGCCGCCGCCGTCGCCGTCCGATTCCTCCCCGCCGCCCGGCCTGATCCGCGGCGTGCAACGCCCCCCACGCACAAACATGGGCACACACCTCGGCATCGCCGAACCCCCAGCCCCCTGCCGCCGCCGCCGCCGTCCCTGTCGCCCCCGCTTCCACCCACTTGCTTTACTGCCGACTCCAAGCGGGAGGCAGCAAAAGCACGCAGGCAGAACCCTGAGAACGTCGCCATCGTGTAGCAGGCAGGCCTGGCTAGCCGCGTGTTGGGGAGTAGTGTTTGTGTGTGTGGTGTACTCTCTCTCTCTCTCTCTCCACTCAGTGTATAGTGAGTGAGCAGCGCACGATAAAAACAACTGAAAAAACCTCGAAGCCCTGGGAGCCCTTGCCCCACTGTTCTTTTCGGCTCCAGTTGCCCAGTAAAAGAAAGAAAGAAAACAGACACGCCAAACGAGGGATGGGACGAGGACAGGGTCCCCACCTGCACGAGCAGGATTTTGGAAGAACGATCAGGGGGACAGGTGGGGCTCTCCTGCTCCTGACAAGGGACACGACAGGCTCGCAGCGCGGTGCGCGGTGGGCTCCCACATCCACTGGCGGTCTCATCTCAGTCTAGGCCC